TGAATTAAAACGTTCCATTCTTAACTCCATTAATTTTTTTTATATATATATTCACAATTTCTCTGTTCATGCTGATTTCGTTAATGATAATTGTTAATCAATGATTTAAGAAGATTTTGCAATTTCTTCATTCATTTTGTCGAAAATGTACAAATTTTTTCAGAGGAAAATGTAGGAAAAATAATCTAATTTTATGGACAAATAAACTTTTGTTGGATGTACCAATAAATTTTCAAAAATAGTTGAAAAGAATTGTAAAAATTATGTTTTCATCAAAATGAAACAATTAGTATTAAAAAGTCAAAAGATGTGTCTTTGCTACAATTCAATTTAGTTTCTCAATGCTGCAGTCGGCAATAAAATACCGTTTGTATCGAATTGTAGGAACTATTGCGAGGATCAACAATTGCACCATTTACTGCAATGCTCTCTCGAGCTGAAGTGACTTTCAGATCTTACTTGGGAAAGGCTTTCGAAAATGCCCCCGCGTCTGGGACGACCATTTGACGTGAACTCAATATCCCGCGACTTTTACACCACACCCAATATTTTACGACCGGGAAATTACGTTTTCCTTCAAGTCACCATTGTGTAAATGCACATTCCGACATTGCTCACAGCAGTTCGCACAAGCGTACTGCAAATACTGTAATTACCTCATTAATTCTGAAACGTTCATTAATATTAACGAGGCTTCAATCAAAATTACCATTTATTCTCGTTAATAAGAATATAAATAATAATAATATTGATTCATTAATATTAGCGATAAATTAACAAAGTAATGCATTAACAGTTGGGCGGATATATCCGCCGCGAAGTGTTAATATTTCGTAATGATAATAATACGGTGCAACGAGGCTTGCACCGGACGTAACGTGAGTTGGAAAGCCGTTGCGAACGGAATTAAACGCGTATAAAAGACGATTATTACGTAAGCACATTGCGGATCTTCCCGTACTCACGCGCGCGCTCGCCATTCTTTATAATTCGTTTATCCTATTAGAGAAAACAAATTTCCCACGGCGATGAGGAAAAGAGAGAACTGGCGAGAGCCTGCAGCTGATGCAATTTTAAATCTGATTATATTCACATTAACTGAATTAGTAAATGTGGAACAGCGGCTAATAGAATTTACATTTGCAGCCCTGGCGGAAAAAATAAGGAAAATATTCGTCCACGCCGTTGGGATTGAATTATCATCCGCACTTGCTTTATTATCGGTTACCTTCCTCGTCCGGATTTCCCGAAGGACGTGCCGTTAATTTATCAAAAGCATTGCACGAAACGGATCTCGCTGTACATCCTTTTTTACTTTTTTTTTTTCTTTTTGCAGGTGACCTGAAGCGTTACCGTTTCCAAAATGACATCATGTTCGAGAAATATATCGTGTAATATGGAAGGTAGCGCGACGTGGTTCTGCTTTGGCATGATCGGTTCAATAATTTATATGTATACTGCTTTGTCGTGTCCCGCAGACGCCACCACCTAAAGCTGCTTATAGTCTATGCATGCAGATTACCCGCAGATTCTTCTTTTCGGATTCTATGTGAGCGGTAACATAGGCAGTTCTCCTCCTCATCGTCGTCGTCTCTATATAACCCAGACATTCTTTAAAGCGCGACGAGCAAAATAAAGGACTGGAGCGACATCCATCCGCTACAATATGTATGCAAATTGACGACGCTCAGAAAAACGTATAAATACAAGAAAAACAACAAAATTTTCGCAAAAGAGTACCATACTTCGCACATCACGGTTAACATTTTTAGCTAATTTTGAGTTTATATTTGTTTCTATTTTTAGTTAATTTTAGAGTCTTAAACATATAAGATATTAGAAAATTAACACAAATTAATAATTAAGTAAACTGTTGTAGATTAAAAACAGAAACATTAAATTTAGAATCAAAATTAACCTTTTGAGGGTGAATGGCGGATATATCCGCCATATCCTTCGCTTACGCAAAATTTCCGCAAAAGAGTACCATACTTCGCACATTGCGGTTAAAATACGGCGCTTTTTTTTACCTAATTTTGTAATCAGTTTATATTTGTTTCTATTTTTATTTAATTTTAGAGACTTAAAGATATTAGAAAAAATTTAAAACAATTCAATTTCCCCTTCACGTTCACTAATATAGGTTTGAATTAATCCAAATTTTCCTATGCCCAGTGAAAGTAATGATTTTCAAAATATGAGTATTTCATAGCATTTCTAAATATTAACATTTAATATTTCATTCCTATTGCGCAAAGTATATTGAATTTTTTTTTGAAAAGTATTGCAATATATTGGATATGCATAAAATGTGATTATTTTCATATCTATTTTTAAAGTATTGAAAATATCTTTACACAAATTAATAATAAAGTAAACTGTTGCAGATTACAAACAAAACCATTAAATTTAGAATCAAAATTAGCCTTTTGCGGGTGAATGGCGGATATATCCGCCCTATCCTTCGCTTACGCAAAATTTCCGCAAAAGTGTACCATACTTCGCACATCGCAGTTAAAATACGGCGCTTTTTTTTACCTAATTTTGTATTCAGTTTATATTTGTTTCTATATTTTTTTTTAATTTTAGAGATTTAAAGATATTAGAAAAGATTTAAAACAATTCAATTTCCCCTTCACGTTCACTAATATATGTTTGAATTAATCCAAGTTTTCATATGCCCAGTGAAAGTAATGATTTTCAAAATATGAGCATTTCAAAGTGTTGCAATATATTGTATATACATAAAATTTGCATAAAATGTAATTATTTTCATATCTATTTTTTCTTGAAAATTTAAAATTTAAAGTATATACATTGAAAATATCTTTACACAAATTAATAATGAAGTAAATTGTTGCAGATTAAAAATAAAAACATTCAATCAAAATTTAGAATCAAAATTAACGATTTGCGGGTGAATGGCGGATATATCCGCCCTATCCTTTTCATAGGATACTCCGCTTACGTAAAATTTCCGCAAGAGTTTTGACTTTAATTCTATTCAGGTGCAAAATATTCCACAAGACAGAAAGTTCGCAAACAAAAAAAAACGCACTAAGCGAGGTATTATTACAGATACACGTAAAACTTAGATATTGTCAATGTTACATGTGTTATGCGATGCGTAAACGTTTGTTTATTATTATTTGTAAATCATAAATATTATTTATGGAGACTGCGGTTTCTGCTCCCAATATCACGCCCGATGCGGTTTTCGTTACCCGTCGACTGGGAGGACATTTATTTCGGTTTCAATGCCTACCCCCTTCGACCACACTTATTCCTTGTCGCGGCCAATAGGATGTCAACCATAAATATCATATTTTTTTTCATCAAGCCGTGTGCTTTCGTGCGCTCTTTTTTCCACTCGAAAAGAAGAAGAAAAAAAAAAGAGTAATATTGATTTGGTGCTACAATAAAATCATTATCGAGAATTGATTAAATCTCTAAAATAGGTGAACTTATTAATCAATAATTGAATAATTCAGTGTTTTTTGTTTACGTGTGGCGAACTGTAGAAAATCTGAAGGGACTTCGTAAAGAGCAACGATGTATTTGGTTTTTGCATACATTTTTCGTGCATGTTTATGTAACCGGTTTATCCAGGGGAAGAGCAGAACCATTTAAACCTTGCACTTTACGCGACACGTGAGACCGGAACGAGTGCCGACCCTAGCGGAATACCAAATTGTTTATATGAAAAATGTATGGGACGACAACCTTTTCACCTCTCTTCTTCCTCTTCCAAAATGGAAAAAGAGAACAAAATAATACAAGAGCAAAAATAACATCAACGTAATTGCATCATGTTTTATATACAGGGTGAACCATTTACTAATTCCAAACTTTATTAACTAATTTAGTGAGAATAGTGGAAATTGTCAATGAATTATTATTGAAATGAAGGCTGATAATTTCAATAAAGTTAATAATTTTTCATCATAAAATTATGAATTATGGATTTAATGAATCCAATAATGTAATGACCTTGAGATAATTGAGTAAATTAAAAAATAAATAAAATTAGAATTTTCAAAAAGTATTGTTAATTTGAAAGTTCACATTGAAATCTTTGGTAAAAAGAAATGTTTTCTAAAGTATAAAAGTGTATTGAAGAAAGAAGAAAAAAAGGATTGAAGAATATTATTATTTTATGAAAGAAAATAAGGAATTGGATTCGATATCGTTTCGTAAATATTCATGAGGATTTGAGGCGTTTCATTTGGTGATTAAATTGGATTAAGATGGATGGAAAAGGAATGTTTTTAATCCTTAAAATGTATAATTTGTATAATGCTAAAGAGCGTCTGGAGAGTAAGTTATGCTGTCGGTAAATCGGGATGCCCTTGGCGCTGAACCCTGTATATATTACAAGGATTTGCCAGGGATCTATACTAGCACTACCACTACAACTACCGCTACTACCATTCCTTACAAGCCCCAACGGAACGGCTCGTATTTACCTAATACGATAATTTGTTGCCGAATATTAATTAATCGTCGATTAATAATATTCTAATTACACGCCTTCATGCGAATTAGTCTTGCACTCGATTAACGTTACATAACACACCGGGCGTACAATATTTAACTGTGGCCTAATGGATTCGTTAAGTGTTTCTTTAATGATATCACACGAAAATTTGAAATTAATAATAAAAAAAACAACAACAACAAAATGTGTCAATGTAATTGATGTTATTCCTTGTGATAAATTACCAGGACGATCAATCATAGCATGAAATATTTCTTTGATTGATTTAAAGCTATAGCGCGCATACAGCACAGCACGCATTATCCCTCTACAAAGATTAATGCGTGGACTCGGCCTGAATTATAATAGACCTAATTGACGTAAATACAAGGACCCAATAGATTGATCACGATCAATCTATAAAATTGCGAGGAGAAATAAACTACACAAATCTGCAATTACTCGAACAAATTGCGTAATCATCGGTGGAGCTTTTTTATGTTTGTTTTATTCTTCATTTTACCTTTGATAGCGTCCCGTGTCCCGCGGCGTAAAAGTATAGACTGGCCGTCTTCTCTGCGCCACGTGATGCGAGGTGGAGGGTGTCCTGTTGCACGACACCAGAGGGTTGCGTTCTCACCCTCCGACACCGACAAATCGCCGCTCGTGTCGTCGTAAACTATGTCCGGGGGCACTGCAATCAGAAAAATTATCCCTTGTTATATGACCTCTGATAGAAAACACATCTTCACTAATTGGAAATGGTGATATAGACAATATTGAAAACTAATTAAATAATAATTACAATTTGTTACTAAACTTACTTAATTAGTAATATTTAGAAATTGTACCTAATTAACTTCAATGATTGTAAAATATATTTTCAATATTTTCAAGCAAATTAGTTATTTTCTTCATAAATATCCAAATTGTAATTAAGAAAAGTCAAGAAAATTTGTTAATCACAAATTAATAAGTAATGGTAATAAATGTAGTTAAAGTATCTGTTTGTTTTTTAAGATATTTTCATCTAAATATTTGAACTAAAAATGTTTACTACAGAATTTCAACAAATAACAGATTAGCAAGAGAAAAGAAGTTTCAGAAAAGATCTTATTTATAGAATAAAAATGATTAATTATGTAATATGTATATAAAAAGAACTGAGATATTTTTTTTCATCAATTTCATATAGTTTTATTAAGAATCAGTCAAGTTTGAAAAACTAGTGAAATGTAAATTGGGTTCATTCTATCTATTATAGTTTTCGAGCAAATTAATGAAATGTAAAAACACTGCTTT